GTTCTTTGGTACCCCGGCGGTACTTTCGCTTATCCTTGCTATGTTTCATTCTTGCCTTTATCCTCTGGGTGTTGTGTGTTTCAGGTTCTAGTGGGCTACGTGCTATTGGTAGTGTTGTTCGTAGTCTGCGTCCCGTAGAGAGCTGTGACGGGGACAGGTCAATTCCTGGAAACGGGGACGCTCGGTACTCAAGGAGTGCTTTTTTCTTGTATTTGTTCTTTCTCCATAGAGACTTCACTGTTTTGACTGCGGCCTCCGCTTCTCCATTCGCCTTGGGGTGCTTTGGGCTTACCAGGATGTGTTCAAAGCTGTAGCTTTTAGCAAAGGTCTCAAATTCTTTACTTGTGTACTGGCTGCCACAGTCAGTGACCAGCTTTGCGGGGATGCCATGCCAACTGAAATGTTCTTTTAGGACTCCAACGGTCACCTGGGATGTGAGATCCTTCGGTTTGGTCATTTCGATGAACTTAGAATAATAATCAACTAGCAACAGGTAATGTTCACCTTGAAAGGTAAATATGTCCGAAGCGCCCATTTCCCAAGGCAGGTCTGGGACAAGGCTTGGTATCAGGGGCTCTTTCTGCTGTGCAGGGGCATAGTCACGACATATGGTACAGTCCTTCACGTTTTCTTCTATCTGCGCACTCATGCCGGGCCAGTAGAGGGCTTCCTTGGCTCTTTGCTTACACTTTACAATTCCCAGGTGTGTTCCATGTATTATCTCCAGCATGGCTGGCCACGTCGACGGGGGCAGTATTATTCTCATTCCTCGGTACGTTACTCCATCCAGTATAGCAAGCTCATCCCGGGTGTCCCAGTATTGGCGGATCCTGTGTGGGACTTGTTGCTTAGTTTCTGGCCAACCAGCTTGAATCATAGCATACAGCTCGTGGAGCTCATTTGCTGTGTCTTGTTGAAGTTCTGCATACTTCGGTTCAGAAATCGAGATTCTTTTCAACATGTTTACTTGTATCCCTTCTTCTTCCGGTGGTGCCTCATTTAGACTTGCTCGGCTGAGGGTGTCTGCGAGGATTTGATTCTTGCCTGGAAGATATTCCACTTTTAGATCATAGCCACTTACTTTCAGCGTCATTGCCTGGAATCGTAATGGTGCTGTTGCTATGGGCTTGCGCAGTATCATTTCTAGGGGTTTATGGTCAGTCTGGACCAAAGTCTCTTTTCCCAGAATTTACTCTCTGAATTTCTGTGTACTGAACACGATTGCCAGCATTTCCTTCTCTATTGGTGCCCAATTAAGCTCTGATGCTCCAAGTTTTCGGGATGCATAGGCTATCGGCTTTCCATCTTGCAGTAGGACAGCACCCACTGCGCTCTTGCTGGCGTCACAGTGTATGGTCACATCTTTTCTGACGTCATAGTAGGCTAGCACTGGGGCTTCACAACACATATCTTTAAGCTTTTGAAACGCAGCTGCTTGTGGNTCGAATTAATTTGATGGCCTGCTCCCAGTTGGCTTGTTAGCTCAATTGGTAGAGCGCTGCACTAGTATCGCAGAGGTCAGTGGTTCGAATCCCGTACAGGCCTGAATTTTTTTCAGGTCTGATTTTCACTATTGCTTAAATAGTGCTTTACTGCGAAGGATCGTGCACATATACGTTTCATAACCGCAGTTCATATATATGTATTTCATATGTTTGTTGTTTGATTTATCATCTACGGGTTTATGTCGAATTAATTTGATGGCCTGCTCCCAGTTGGCTTGTTAGCTCAATTGGTAGAGCGCTGCACTAGTATCGCAGAGGTCAGTGGTTCGAATCCCGTACAGGCCTGAATTTTTTTCAGGTCTGATTTTCACTATTGCTTAAATAGTGCTTTACTGCGAAGGATCGTGCACATATACGTTTCATAACCGCAGTTCATATATATGTATTTCATATGTTTGTTGTTTGATTTATCATCTACGGGTTTATGTCGAATTAATTTGATGGCCTGCTCCCAGTTGGCTTGTTAGCTCAATTGGTAGAGCGCTGCACTAGTATCGCAGAGGTCAGTGGTTCGAATCCCGTACAGGCCTGAATTTTTTTCAGGTCTGATTTTCACTATTGCTTAAATAGTGCTTTACTGCGAAGGATCGTGCACATATACGTTTCATAACCGCAGTTCATATATATGTATTTCATATGTTTGTTGTTTGATTTATCATCTACGGGTTTATGTCGAATTAATTTGATAGCCTGCTCCCAGTTGGCTTGTTAGCTCAATTGGTAGAGCGCTGCACTAGTATCGCAGAGGTCAGTGGTTCGAATCCCGTACAGGCCTGAATTTTTTTCAGGTCTGATTTTCACTATTGCTTAAATAGTGCTTTACTGCGAAGGATCGTGCACATATACGTTTCATAACCGCAGTTCATATATATGTATTTCATATGTTTGTTGTTTGATTTATCATCTACGGGTTTATGTCGAATTAATTTGATGGCCTGCTCCCAGTTGGCTTGTTAGCTCAATTGGTAGAGCGCTGCACTAGTATCGCAGAGGTCAGTGGTTCGAATCCCGTACAGGCCTGAATTTTTTTCAGGTCTGATTTTCACTATTGCTTAAATAGTGCTTTACTGCGAAGGATCGTGCACATATACGTTTCATAACCGCAGTTCATATATATGTATTTCATATGTTTGTTAGGAGATAATTTGACAGATTAGACCTGTTTTGGTTACAATTTGACTTTATACTTCGACAGAAGCAATTTTAGGGGTCTTAGTTTACGTAATCTCGAAAACTAAGACGGGCGCGGGTCTTAGGTCTTAGGTCTTCGTTTTCGAGGGTCTTAGTTTTCGTAATACCCGTCTGTCATAATAGTGTTTCTGTTGGGAAGGATAGCAACCGCGGTACTACCCAGGGAAGCGTTAGCGCCCCGTATTTGTTTAACCTGTTCTTAAATACCTATACGATCAAGAATAGTGTAGATGAGTCACAAAAGGCACTCAAAGCATTTTTGGAGTGGACGGAAGGATAGGCGGCCGTCACCACCAAAAATACAATGATATCAAATAGATCAGTAAATACAAAGATGGTTTAAGGATCAGCTTCAGGATAGCATAACTAATAAAGGAATGGCATGGCCAAATTATAGACAGTCTAGGTTTCCCTCATGAAAAAGAACACCCTAAACATAAATAGTTTAGCCAAATCATAAACGGTCGATCAAGTTGCCCATGCCGATTTGGAACATGAAATTGTGAAATAGACCAACTAAATTTCGAATAGTCTAGCACGCACTCAATTGCAATACAGTACACAAACGGTGTAGCGTTGCGTCAAATGACTCAGGGTAATATGGAGTAGCACAGCGTACGCACAAACGATGTAGCGTTGGGTGAAATGGCTCAGCGTAATGTCGAATGGTACAGCGTAATACAAACAATGTAGCTTTGCGTGAAAAGGCTCAGCGGAATGTGGAAAGGTACAGCGTTGCGCGATTTGGCTCAGCATAATGTCAAATGGTATAGCGTACATACAAACAGCGAAGCGTAGCGTGAAATAGCTCAGCGTAATGTCAAATGATACAGCGTGCACACAAACGGTGTAGCGTTGCGTGAAAGAGCTCACGTTACGCCACGAGCAAGCTCGACGATTTGCCACAACATCGAAATATTTCATGTAATACTGAGCAATTTAACGTTCAGCGAGAGCGTCTGATGTTCTGCAAGACTATTCGACGTAACGCTACACCATTCATGTGAACGCTGTGCCATGCGACATTACGCTGAGCCATTTTACGCAACGCTACACTGTTTGTATGTACGCTGTACCATTCTACATTACGCTATCTCGCCGAAACCATCAAAAATACAAACCGCAAATGGAACAGCGATCTGCTGGAGGCATGACGTCATCGAATGTGAACACTGACGCGAAACCATCACGCTGTTTTGAAGAGCCTTCACTTCGCCTTGCCGTAAAGCAGAGCCAATGTAGTAAGTTTCTCCTTTTTTCCCCAGCCGATATTGCATTTATTCTTTGTCCTTCATGAAAGCGTTAATTAAAATAGTAACAAGACTGGATTCTACCACGGCCTGTGGCGGCGTCCCGGTTTACCATAGTTTGCACGCGTTGGTGCGCCTGAGTGTTTATAGTATTAAGTAGTGTTATGACGAGCCATAAAAGTTTGATCGAGAAAGTAAAAATAGAATTTACCTTTAGTATCAATGCACCCAGGAAAAAAATGAATAAACAAAGTAATATAAATATGATGCACGATCCTCGCAGAGGATAGCGCTATTTAAGCAATAGCGAAAATCAGACCTGAAAAAAATCAGGCCTGTACGGGATTCGAACCACTGACCTCTGCGATACTAGTGCAGCGCTCTACCAATTGAGCTAACAAGCCAACTGGGAGCAGGCCATCAAATTAATTCGACATAAACCCGTAGATGATAAATCAAACAACAAACATATGAAATACATATATATGAACTGCGGTTATGAAACGTATATGTGCACGATCCTTCGCAGTAAAGCACTATTTAAGCAATAGTGAAAATCAGACCTGAAAAAAATTCAGGCCTGTACGGGATTCGAACCACTGACCTCTGCGATACTAGTGCAGCGCTCTACCAATTGAGCTAACAAGCCAACTGGGAGCAGGCCATCAAATTAATTCGACATAAACCCGTAGATGATAAATCAAACAACAAACATATGAAATACATATATATGAACTGCGGTTATGAAACGTATATGTGCACGATCCTTCGCAGTAAAGCACTATTTAAGCAATAGTGAAAATCAGACCTGAAAAAAATTCAGGCCTGTACGGGATTCGAACCACTGACCTCTGCGATACTAGTGCAGCGCTCTACCAATTGAGCTAACAAGCCAACTGGGAGCAGGCCATCAAATTAATTCGACATAAACCCGTAGATGATAAATCAAACAACAAACATATGAAATACATATATATGAACTGCGGTTATGAAACGTATATGTGCACGATCCTTCGCAGTAAAGCACTATTTAAGCAATAGTGAAAATCAGACCTGAAAAAAATTCAGGCCTGTACGGGATTCGAACCACTGACCTCTGCGATACTAGTGCAGCGCTCTACCAATTGAGCTAACAAGCCAACTGGGAGCAGGCCATCAAATTAATTCGACATAAACCCGTAGATGATAAATCAAACAACAAACATATGAAATACATATATATGAACTGCGGTTATGAAACGTATATGTGCACGATCCTTCGCAGTAAAGCACTATTTAAGCAATAGTGAAAATCAGACCTGAAAAAAATTCAGGCCTGTACGGGATTCGAACCACTGACCTCTGCAATACTAGTGCAGCGCTCTACCAATTGAGCTAACAAGCCAACTGGGAGCAGGCCATCAAATTAATTCGACATAAACCCGTAGATGATAAATCAAACAACAAACATATGAAATACATATATATGAACTGCGGTTATGAAACGTATATGTGCACGATCCTTCGCAGTAAAGCACTATTTAAGCAATAGTGAAAATCAGACCTGAAAAAAATTCAGGCCTGTACGGGATTCGAACCACTGACCTCTGCGATACTAGTGCAGCGCTCTACCAATTGAGCTAACAAGCCAACTGGGAGCAGGCCATCAAATTAATTCGACATAAACCCGTAGATGATAAATCAAACAACAAACATATGAAATACATATATATGAACTGCGGTTATGAAACGTATATGTGCACGATCCTTCGCAGTAAAGCACTATTTAAGCAATAGTGAAAATCAGACCTGAAAAAAATTCAGGCCTGTACGGGATTCGAACCACTGACCTCTGCGATACTAGTGCAGCGCTCTACCAATTGAGCTAACAAGCCAACTGGGAGCAGGCCATCAAATTAATTCGACATAAACCCGTAGATGATAAATCAAACAACAAACATATGAAATACATATATATGAACTGCGGTTATGAAACGTATATGTGCACGATCCTTCGCAGTAAAGCACTATTTAAGCAATAGTGAAAATCAGACCTGAAAAAAATTCAGGCCTGTACGGGATTCGAACCACTGACCTCTGCGATACTAGTAGATCTAGTTGGCTTGTTAGCTCAATTGGTAGAGCGCTGCACTAGTATCGCAGAGGTCAGTGGTTCGAATCCCGTACAGGCCTGAATTTTTTTCAGGTCTGATTTTCACTATTGCTTAAATAGTGCTTTACTGCGAAGGATCGTGCACATATACGTTTCATAACCGCAGTTCATATATATGTATTTCATATGTTTGTTGTTTGATTTATCATCTACGGGTTTATGTCGAATTAATTTGATGGCCTGCTCCCAGTTGGCTTGTTAGCTCAATTGGTAGAGCGCTGCACTAGTATCGCAGAGGTCAGTGGTTCGAATCCCGTACAGGCCTGAATTTTTTTCAGGTCTGATTTTCACTATTGCTTAAATAGTGCTTTACTGCGAAGGATCGTGCACATATACGTTTCATAACCGCAGTTCATATATATGTATTTCATATGTTTGTTGTTTGATTTATCATCTACGGGTTTATGTCGAATTAATTTGATGGCCTGCTCCCAGTTGGCTTGTTAGCTCAATTGGTAGAGCGCTGCACTAGTATCGCAGAGGTCAGTGGTTCGAATCCCGTACAGGCCTGAATTCTTTTCAGGTCTGATTGGTGGTGACGGCCGCTCATAGGCGGGCTTTCGTCGAAGAACACTTTCTGCCGAGTCACACCAGACCGACATAAATCTCATCAAATATTCACTTCATTATTTAATCGGGAATGTGAAATGTTTTAAAGCTTATTTTTTTATTGTCATTCCAGTAACAATGACTGCCGCAACATTTGACGAGTTTGTCACGTAACGTGACTGAAAATCCCGACGTGCAAAGACAAACTGCGTTGATACGTATGAGGGGTCATCGACGCCAAAATTCTGTTTCAAATTCTGTAATGTAAAACTTATGTAGCTTATAAATTATTTGTTGACCCCTCATAGATATTTACATCGGAATGTAAGAGCAAGTTACTTTCATCGAACACGCCACTGCATGAGGTGAAATGGGCAACTTCACATCCAGAATATAATTGCTTACATAATACGTATCGCTACTTTAATCACTAACTACCCTTAAAACGCCCACAACAATCCGCTAAATCCACACTCGCGAATTCAGGGCAACTATTCAAATATTGCAAGTCGGAAAGTGCTCGCTGCCAGAAAATAAGGACTTCTTAACTGTATTGAATAGATCATAGACATCACTGCAACAACCTATTTCAACTCAGCATGTCTGCTTGTTTGAAGTGTTTCACCTCTCAGCTCACATAGTGAATAATAGCTTTACATACCAACTGGGCATCAACCACGTTATTGCTCCCGTCCATTCTGAGGTCTCTTTAGACCTGATTTTAAATTATAATGGTTCTTCTCAAACGCCAAATGCAAGGCAGTGCCGAGAAATAATTAACCTCAAGCGCGTTGCTTAGTTCAGGGAGAGCTCGAGAGGACGACTTGGAGACTGGTGACTAAATGCCTATGTTCCGCCTGACGAAAAAATTGAAAATTCTTTCTTCATTTCTTCAACACCTGAGTTTTGATTTCCACAAAACTAAATTTTTATATGTAGATATTGTTTTCAGTTTTCTGACGTTGCTCTTTACGTTATTGTTTCGAAAAAGCCTAATTTGTGCGCGGGCTCATTTTCTGGACAGCGGTTCATTACAAACTACTGTCCTCCTTCATGAGTGTTTCCTCCAAAATCAACAAACTGGAATGCCTTTGCACTATTCAGCGTAAGCTCTAGAGAATAGGGGAATCCTTGTTTACAATATTTGCCACATTAGCATAAGCAATTCAGTTTCTGATGGAGCTAAAAATAAATCAGTTCTGAATATCGACAGGTCAAAGTACGATTTACTCGGCCAATGAATACGAGCCTGATGCAACACGGGTTTAAAAACTCAAAATTTTACATAGAATGTATGAGCTCATTAGCGCTTTTGCCACCCAGAA